TACCGACATTGTAACAACAACCGTTTCTTGTGTCAACGTGACGTGATCACATCTACACACGTTAACGAGTTGTTAATACATGTGGGTCACAGTGAAAACGATAATTATAAAGTTGAGTTGACTCATAAATAACTTTATATTTCATTTACATCGGAACTCTGGTCACGTGATAATATTTATGTCACTCCAAGTTGTCAAAACAAAATGTATCTCGTCTGAGAAGAATTTGAAAATCCGTAGAGGATATTAGCACGATATGAGCACGCTGCAGCTGGAACATTGACTGATACACACCCGGGAAGGGAATACTCCAATGTAGAAGTATACGGGTGTGAGTTGCAGTTTAACCCTAATTTTCCCGGTTTAGCCGGGTTTTTGTTACACCCCCCCCCGCCGATTTCAATGAAGACAATTCACTATAATGCAATAATCTGACTGAAATTAACTGAAACCTTACTCATTGACTAAAATTACTTCCGGAGCGTGTAACTCTATTAGGTCAAAAAAAAAACTTATGTTGCCCTCAAGTTGGAAAAATTGAAAACATTTTGTAGGTAGTTCGGATTTGTTTTTTGTTTTTTTGTTTTTTTTTAAACTCGTGAAAACTAAGGGTATCGTAAACAGTCGAGGTATATGGGAATCAATCAAACGCATGCTAGATATTAAACACAAAAATCAAAGTGTTTCTTTCATTCTTTTGTATTTTATTATTTCCATCAGCATACGCTTTTGGTCTTAGTTTTTTTCTTTTCCTTAAACAACATTGTCCTCTTCAACATCTCTGTCCTCCGCTCCTCCTTCAGCTGCAGCTCTTGCTGTCATGCACACAGCAAACGTGTTCGCCATGTTCGCTACTGCTGTACACCTGTACGTACACACGATGACAAACCCGAAAGTGAGAATACTGACAGCGCAAAAACAACGTGCAAAAAGCTGTCGTTTTGTTCGTGATGTAAGAGTATGAGAGTTTTAATATAAAATGTCACGTTTTGTAAATTCATTAAAATTGTGTGCATTTCATGTAATAAAAATCATATTTACTACAACAAACGTATTGTTTTTTATTCAAAATAATATTTTTATTTAATTAAGAAAATACTTGGTGCGGCGATATTTTTAATATTGTGCACCAACTATCCGTCGAATCGCAAATGTCAAAATGGCCTAAAATGCAAAAGACGTGTTTGCTCTTCAGACTTCATAGTATTCGAAACATGTAAGAGAAATACAGATCAACCTGAGGTTCAAAGTCGCCACTTACCCCCCCCCCCCCCGAGGACCCTGGAGATCAAACAACGGTCCGGATCGTTAATTTTTAGAGGAAACACTTTTTCACTGCCTAAAATGGAGAGTTTATTATCTGTGAGACTGTATTATCTACTTCAGTCTAAGTAGAGGGTCTCATTTATCATAAATCTTGCATTTAATGTAATAAACATTGCAGTATAATTTGAATTAATAATTTCCTGTCTGTGGTGAAGTAATCTTCTATAAATATTTCCGTATTTGATAATCCATAATCACGTGAGATTTACGCCGTGATACCACCAGCGCTGTCATTTCAAAAATGAACTATCACGCATTAAAATGAAAATAAATTCTGCCATCCGACTAAGTTAGCGTACCAGATGTCGGAATGGCGGGTGTTAAATCCGTTAATGGTGTCGACAATTTGGTGAAATAATTTGTTGACATGACTGACAACGTTACTGTTTCACAGTTATCGGATATTCATTTCTACTCACGAGTCATGCCAGGTGCATCGACTACTAACTTTTCAGATCCCCTATCCAAACAGGGTTCCAAAGCGAACGCAACGAGCGAATAAATGGGCTGCATTAGTTTTTTGTGAGTGGAGAAATTTTCGTCAGCTAAAAACAAGAGGGTTTGCCAAAAACATTCATCACAAAGAATTCCGTATTGACATTGTTGAATATAAGTTGGAATGTATCTTGTCATAACACAGGTTTACGGCAGATAACCATGGCAATTCTCGGGTGCTCATTGGTCGATTCAAGACAGCCATTGTACAATCTCTTATGACATGTGGACGGTATTTACATCAATCGTAGACCATTATGTCAACAAAGTTAATAA